GTAAGTGTTGGAAAGAGGCATTTCTGAATCAATTACAAGCGTGTGAAATATACCTCGTCCTTTTCAGTAAATTTCAGAAGATGAAAGGTATCCCAGCAATATTGAAGAACGATTTAGCTTTTAGAAAGATAGTTCTCAAACATGTATCTGAGCATCAGCTTGTGCCTTGAATGGGCCAGAGTTTACTGCAATTATTATCATCTTTCTTCTTCTTTGCCAATGTTTTCATCTATCAGAAACTTGAATCCAAGTAATTTTCGGTTTCTATGTCATACAAAATGGGATGCACATGGAATGACATGAGAAATTGTGTAGTGTTCAAAAATAGGAAATTAAGAAATTGAAGGCATGAAGGTAAAAAATATCACAACATACATAAGGAAACTATAAATTTTATAAGTGCTCAATTTGAACAAAATGGCAGTTCTGGCTTCTAAAACTGGGTTGCTTCTTAAACACAAGAGCTACTTTAATGATTATGACAAACAATCTAATTACACAAAACCACCAAAGTTTAGAAAAACCAACGTAAATCTCACTACAAAGGGATAAAAATATTTTGGATCCACATTACTTGGTGGAGGGCATTCTCAAGTCTCTGTTTGGTGGTGAGCCTTTGGCAAATGGAATAGCAAGACAGTGGGTAGAAGATAAATAAGAAAAGCAAGAAAAGTAAGAAAATTACAGAAAGTGGATACAAGATGAGATATATTTCAATAGAGCCAAAATATTAAGATGGTGGATAAGGTGGTAAAATTTTACAAGTTTCACTTGCCTGAAACAAGGTACATTTACTTGAATAGCTTTAGGATATCAGTAAATGGTTAAAAGAACAGCAAGTATACGTTGCTTTTATCTTCCAACTTTACTGAATTTCTAGACTTGGATAAGTAGATGCTCTGGAACCAAATTTAACATTATGTATTTAAAAGACTCTAACTTAATATTAGGAGATCCAAGACTCTATAATTAACATTCATAAACCATTAGCATAACTAGTTCTGAATTGGTTTATAGGATTGGAATATCTATGACATTGTCTATACCCTTCTGGTACTATAAATTTTTGTCTGGGACATAATTGCCTGACTCCCCAAAACTCTTATCTCATCCTTAATTACATGTATGTGTGAATTTTTGTGTTATGTAATTGAATTTAGTGTGCAATGCCATCTTTGCAGTGGACATGTATTCACGATGAATATCAACTACTAAAATGAAAAATTACTTAGCTCCGTAAAACTGGAAAACAAAAAAATCACCTAGGAAAGATCTAAAATTAAGTGGTAATTAGAATGTCAAGACAGATAGAGAAAGAATAAACCAAAAGCTTCATCTCAGAAGGCCAAGGGGTTTTTTAAAAATTTGTCTATGTTTAAAGTTTTTAGCATCATAAGTATAAAAGGAATGAATGCAGACATTTTCAATTTTTATCTACAATATCCCAATTTAAAAGGAATTGAATCAGCTAGAGAGTTAGACTTTTCTGTGTGAAACACCACAAAGAAATTGAGCAAGTACAGAAAGTAAAAACAGTGATGTGGCATAGTTATGAAAACTTAGAAAAGACGCATGGCAAGTACAAATTGATTATAGACTTCAGTCTTATTTGTTGTGACATTTGGGGAACACAAATTTAGAAATGCATGTCAGGGAAATGTTCACATGCTATCCTATTCCTGTGGTCCTGTTTATATTAGTTTCATTGGGAATTTGTGAATATTCTTAAAATTATTTTACAGCTCATCAACAATTTTAAAACAACTCTCTGGGAATTCAGCCTACTTAGAATGAATGTAAGGCAGTGAGAGAGGAATGCACAGGATGGGAATTTTGTTCACTGAGATCTCGCCCTCAAGACTGGCACAGCCTGACTGCATAGCCTGGGAAAGGTCACAACCTCAATGTGTCAGTTTCCTCACCAAGGGAATGGGGATAATGATATTTATCTATCTGGTAGAAGTGTTAGGAGAAGTAATTAATGTTTAAAAAGGACTTTGAGATCCTTGGATGAAAGGTACTCAGTAAGTGCAAAGTGTTAGTATGATTATTTTAATAGTTATGATTACTGAGATATTAAATGCATAATATTCTACTGCTGTGAAAATTCTAGTGTGGGTGGGCACTATGGATTACATACCAAATGGTGGAAAATAAGTAACTTTAATGATTGTATTAATTTTTATACAGTAAAACCTGGATGGACAGCACAGATATCTTTTTTTCTGTATTTCTATTTCTCAACATTTAAATTTAGCTTTTGTTTTTAAATTCTAATAGTGAGCTCCTATTTGATAGATAAATGGTACCTTTTATCCTGAAGTCATGAAGACGTTTAGTGCTGAGGTCCACTTACTCCTGGAACAGTATGAGTGTTCTCTGAAACAGCTACTCCAGGAAGATACAAGCCTTGTTGCTTGGGGAACAATATTGAGGAAGCAGGTTTGAAGGGTTTAGTGACCTGTATTCTCAGTAAGCCTTCCCTACTTTGTCCAGCTTTTAACCAGATCTCTGCTTGACACAATGGAGGGAAAGTAAGGCAGAGTTAACAGAGCAGCATGTTTGGGGTCGGGGGGAGCATTGCAGGTTATGAGATGGAGCTGAAAGTAAGAATTTCAGAGGAAGATCTTTTACTACAATAGAGATAAAATGTGGCATGGACTAATCAAAATGAGTCCAAAACTTATGTGTATTCTCACTTAGAGTTTTAAAAGTCCGGTAATGAGGAATGGAGGGAATACAAAGGAATACAAAGAAATTGGTGTCAATATAAAATATTTCAAATGAAGGGTACTCTCAGTACTTGAATGAAGTATTCAAATTTTAAATTATTTGGGCTTTTTGAACCCTTTATTAATCCTAAGTGTTCCTTTCTCATGAATCCATATTATATAATAGTATATACAGAGGGATTAGGAATAAGTATATATATATATATGAAAAATATTTATAAATAAGAATCTGATTTGACCTTTGTGTTTTGTGAATGTGAATCTGATTAGAAATAGAAAGCTGTTTCCTCTAATTTACTTGTGTCTCGTCTATGCACTGCAAACCAAAGGTAAAAACAAGGCATTTTTAGAAATATCAAGAATAATAATATTGAGTCTCAATTAACTAACATATTTGAACTAGTGGGAAATAATCATTGCTGGCAAGAAAGTTAAGAAGTTTAGTCTCTATGAGGAAAACTGAGATCATTTGTCACAAAGTGCCTATAATAAAAGAAGTACAATAGGAGATCTCAATAGTTTACTTAAATCAAAAAGAGAAAATGAGATCAATTTCCATTGCATCAGGAGAATTTGTGCTGTGAACTTTATAACTGAGGTTCAACACATTATGGTTTGGAAAAGTGATCAAGATTATGAATTTTCTTCACACTCGTGCCCTTAAACATTACCAATTTACAGGATATTTTGAAGAAGTTGAAGCAGTAAATGCAGACCTAGTTTGCTTCAATGGAAGCAGATGGCTAGGTCATGGCAACTCTTTGAAGAGATATACTTGACTGCTTTTTTTTTTTTATATAAAAGGTAACAATTTTCTTATAAAAATGGAAACACTTAGGAATAAAAGCACAACTTACTTCCCACAATAGTTATGAGGATAGAATGAGATTGTGCATATAAAGCATTTAACAGGGTGCCCACACATAGTAAGAACTAAATAAACGTAAAGAATTATTGTTATATGAAACTTAGATATGATGTATGAGTGGAGCAAGGTCTGAGGGCTTCTGCTCAATTTAGGCTGCACATTCCAGTGGCCCCAGCTGTGTAAAGGCAGAATGTACTGCCTTAAGAAGCAGTAAAATCTCCATCCCAGAAGAATTCTCAGCCTAGGCTGGAGAGTTACCTGGCAGCGCTTTAACCTAGAATTTACACTTTAAATGGGTAAATACTGGTTGTCCTCAGGTTGAAGTTAGTATTTTCCTCTATCTGGAGATAGGCTGATGCCAAAGTGCCCCATTATATTTTAAAAGCTAGATGTTGATGTTTTGCATTTTTTTTAAACTAAGGTGCTTTGAAATTATGTCACACAGTGACATTAATTTTTGTACATTAAATAAAACAATAAAACATTAAAGAGAAAGAGAGAATCATGTCCTGACCCACACTCATGCTGCTTCTCCTGGCCCCTCCTGGACCCCCACCCAGCTTCTGTTCATCCTCTGCCCACCTCACATAGACACTTACTGTTGTGGGGAAAAATGGAAGCATTTATAATTGAATTTGTGCATCAAATTTTGTTCTATCAAGGGTTATTGTGATAAAATATACATACCATGAAATTTTCCATTTAACCATTTTTCAGTGTACACTTCAATGGCTTGTTAAGTACATTCACAATGTTGTGAAACAGAACTTTTTCATCTTCCCAAACAGAAACCTTGTATCCATTAAATAGTAACTCCCCGTTCTCCTTTCTCCCTAGTCCCTGATAACCTCTACTCTTTGTCTCTATGAATTTACATATTCTGGATACCTTAAAAAAGTGGAATCCTACAATATTTTTCCTTTCTGTTGCTTTTTACATGTCAAGATTATTTTTTAAATAAAAGTACTGCCCTAATATTTCTGGTCACTTGGATAAGGTCTGGACTCACCTTAGATTCACTCTGTCTCTTAAAGTTCCTTTTCTTTCACAAAATTGCTTACAGACACCTTCAGTATGGAATCAAAAAAGATTTATGCCTTAACTGAATATACTTTAAAATAAACAAGAAAACTGTAGACTTGTAAATGCAGTATTAGTGACACGACCTGAGTATGTTAATGACTGTTACTAGGCTTCTCATTGTGAACTCCTAGAAGGACAGATTTACCTAAATCACTTTGGAGCTGCTATTGGTTTGCTCCTTTAATGCATATTTTTGAAAAGTTAACAAGATATTTTTAATCACTATCCATTTTTGACCAAAAAAAAAATCATAAAACCTATTTACAAAAGGGTTTCTTATCATTTGACGAACTTTTGCAAAGCATGGATACTCTCGCTCTAATTCTTATTTTTATTTATGGTTAGATTTTTCTCATGATTTCCACCCTTTGCTGGTTTGATTTCACTCCATTCTGCTTTCTTCTTTCATGTTGCAGTGAGTTAGGACTCTTTTTATGTCATGAGGGCCAAGAGAGCAAAGTGGAACAGCACAAACAACAAAGTAGGTTTATTAGCCCCAGTCATCGGAAGTCCAGAGATAGAGGAGGCTCCGTGGTTGCCAGATTTAGTGCGGACTGTTTCCTTCTTTCTGCTCCGCTTTCTGGGATATCTGCTTCATCTCAAGGATCCTCTTCAACAGGACTCAGAGTGTCTGCCAGAACCAATCAGGACCACATTCCCCCACTGCCACCTGCAGAGAAAGTGAGTCTGTACTTCTGTCTGTCTCAGCATTCCAAATGAGAATGCCAAGATTCTTTGTACCCCTAAAGTGCATGGCCACCACCCCTGGACACGTGACGGTGACCAGAGGAGTAAAAGAATGTGCTTACTGGCTTCAGGCGACTGAGGACTTGCTGGGGAGCAGTCAGCACTCCGCAAAGTACCTGGGCTACTGAAGAAGGGGGCGGAGGAATGCTGCAGACCCACCACAGTATGACTCATTCTCACATCCTGTGAATGAAATGCAGAAATATTTAAAAATTATTAAAGATTATATTGGCACAAAAGACAAGTGAAACTTTTTGAGTCTAAACAATGACTGATAACGTGGGAGTAAATGTTAAAGAAATTATTGTTATTTTTAAAAGGAAAGGGGGCTAAAATTCTAGATGTTTTCAAAAAATATGTAAAATATAGAATAAAGGGATTTGTCATCAAAAAATTACATTGGGAAGTGTGAAACAATTATGGTTTCAGGTGGAATATTTCAACTAGAATTCTAGTACTTTATGTGGAATGCTTCACCATACAACCTTTTAATTGCCTAATTTAGAAATCTTGGAAAAGAGTAATAATATTCGGATAAAGGATGTCATACAGAACACAAAAAATGACTCTCATCTATCTTCTTCTTGTCATAGAATGAGAAACTAAGATGCTTGAGAAAGCAGAGTTTGTATCCACAAAGAAATATCGTATCTACTCCATCAGTGATTTCAATCTTTATGTCTAGCAGAGGAACACTTTCTTCTAATAATGTGGGATAAATAAAAAGAACATGCAAGTCAAAGAAAGTTACTCTGCTTCAACTGAGATAGAAAATCCTGAATAATTTCCTACTCTTATTCTCCTCCTTCTGGCAATTATATCACTCCACTTATATTTGTAATTAAAGTAGGAAGAGCACTAATGTGGAAGGCAGTAGACATCCGAAAATCTGGATTCTCATTTCAAATTTATTAGTACATCCCCTTGGAAAAGTCAGTTAAGTTAGACTTTCCTTACCCAGTTTCAAGGAACCAGGCTCTTAGACTGATCTCAAAATTCATTCATTTGGTTAAAATATTAAAATCTCAGATGTTACATATAAATGTGTACCTCCAGCTTCTGCCTCTGGCATTATAGAGAACCAAGTACCCAGAGCAACCCTTTGAAAACAAGTAAAAATTCTGGATAAAATAATTTTTAAAAATTTTCTTAAACATATTCATTAACTGGTGAAAAAGGAAGATGTTCTGAGATCAGTAACTGTATGAAAAGGGGAATTTGAGCTAGAAGCAGAGCCTTGAAACCTCTTTAGCCTGAGGGCATTTAAATATCCAGATAAACTTTAGCTTCAAGTTGAGGACTCTGCTGCCTTCTTCCTGTGTCCCTGCCCTCCGCTTGTGGAACATGGCCAAGATGGAAACAGTGAGGGAGTCAAGGAAGTGGTGGTACGTTTAGGGTTCAAAGAAGTGTCAGAGATTGGTGGGGTTGAGGACTGAGAATGCAGTGAGCCCAGAAGGTGGTGATGGGGCTCTGGTCAGCTAAGCAGTCAACCAATGGAGGAGGCCTGGCAGGGCCATGTTCTGAGGAGACAGCAGAAAGGCCAAGATCAAGGAGGTAGCCAACATGTTTGGGATATTGGTTACATATAAGAAGATTGAACAAAGAAGTAAGTATATTGAGGGTAACGGAAGTTAGATTTCTCACTTTTGGAAACACAGAAAGTAGGGAATCTAGGCTAGAATGAACATGATATTATTAGATTGGAATTGGAAATATTGTATAAACTCATAAGGTAGATTAGATAGATGATAGATAGATAGATAGGTGATAGAAAGAAATAGATATAGGAACATAAATCCATGTGTGACACACACAAATATTCTTCCTATTTTTTTATTTATAATTATGTATATACATTCATACATTCCTTATTTTATTTGTTAGAAGAAATGAGACATACATAGCAATGAGCACATTGAGCATCCAGATCTTGATTTCTATATACGATCTTCCACAAAATACTGGGCTTCTTGGAGAAAAGACTAATTGCAGGACTGGGGCATGAAGAGCACAATATGGACCTAGATATTGTGCCAAAAATGAAGGAACTCCCAAAGAATGATAGTGGTGTATCAAAATGACAGGAGCCAGCTGGAATAGGTTCAACCAACCAAATCTGGGCTAATTTCAACATGAAAATAGGAATAATAAAAGGATCCACATGATTTAAATAAATAAAGTAATAAATAAATAATTTGGGAAGAAGAAAAACCTCCTTCTTACACTGAAATGACAACTTGTCTATGTAGAAGGAATAATGGAAATAGATGAACACTATTTGGCAACCATCACAGTGCTGACTGACTCAGGTAAGTCATGAATGGTTATTAAAAGGCAAGGGAAGAAAATAGAAAATTTAAAAAGTAATACAAATAAAACCACAAAATAAGATGAAAGATCTAAATGCAAAAATATTAGTGATTACAATGTATATAAATGGACTAAGTGACCCTTTAAAAGAAAAAGTGTATCTAACTGGATTTAAAATAAATGCTGCTCCTCTAAATGGATTAAAGACTGAAACTTAAGACCTAAAACTATAAAACTCCTAAAAGAAAACATAAAAGAAAAGCTTCAGGACATTTGACTTGTCAATGATTTCTTAGATATGACACCAAAAGCACAGACAAAAAGACTAAAAAATAGACAAATGAGACTATGTCAACCTTAAAAACTGTGCAGCAAAGGAAACAGTCAATAGAATGAAAGGCAATCTATAGGACAGGAGAAAATATTTGCAAACCATGTATGTTAATATCCAGAATATATAAAGAGCTCCTACAACTCAACAAGGAAAAAAAAAAAACCTGATTAAAATATGGCCAAAGGACTTGAATAGACATTTCTTCAAAGAAGATAAACAAATGGCCAATACACATATGAAAAGACGTTCAACATCATTAATTACCAGGGGAATATAAAGAAAACCCCAATGAGAATATCATCTCACATCCTTTAGGATAGTCATTATGAGAAAAAAAAGGAAATAAGTGCTGGTTAGAATGTAGAGAATCGGAACTCTTTTGCACGATTGGTAGAAATGTAAAATGGTGCATCCACTATAGGAAGAACTGTGAAGCTTCCTCAAAAAATTAAAAATATTGGGGCTGGCCCCATGGCCGAGTGGTTAAGTTCATGCATTCCGCTTTGGAGGCCCAGGGTTTGGCCAGTTCGCATCCTGGACGCAGACATGGCACCGCTCATTAGGCCATGTTGAGGCAGCGTCCCACATACCACAACTAGAAGGACCCACAACTAAAATATACAACTATGTACTGGGAGGATTTGGGGAGAAAAAGCAGAAAAAAATTTAAAATATAGATTACATGGTATATCTACTTGGATAAAGCCAAAGAACTGAAAGCAGGATCTCAGAGATATTTGTACACCCATGTTCGCTGCAGTGTTATTTAACATAGCCAAGATGTGGAAGCAACCTAAATGTCCATCAACAGATGAATGGATAAAGAAAATGTGGTATAAAGCCCAGACATAGTCTACTTCTGCCTATGTGATGTGGGGCTCAATGGGAACAGAAACTGAGCTGCTCTGAAGACGGAGGGGAGATGAGAGTCTAGGGATGGGAATGGAGCAGCTATTTTAACGCTGTCATGTTGAAGATGCTTCTGTCTAATGGTATAAATCTCTCAGTGGAGACCTCAAGTAAAGAAGTTTCAGCGTTCTCATGTAAAAGTAAAACCACAACATCTACCAAGCACACAGAGGAGTCATACAAAGAGTGTGTATGTAAAGCAGGCAACATTGCCTACAGCTCGTGAGAATGAAGGCAACATTTTGTTTCTCTAGTTGACAAAATTGCAAATAGAGTAATCTTTGAACAAGAAAGTAATCAAACTGGGACTTGAGGATTAAATATAAGGAGGAGACAACTGCCCAGCCCAGTCTAGCAGGGGACCAGGAGATTGTGATCTGCAGGCCTAGTGCTATGTGAAACAGAGAGGAATCACTCAGGTCCACAAAAATACTGCTGGCCTCCCCCTATCTGGGGGAAGATTTTCACTGTTTTTTTTTAAAAGGGGAAAAATAAAACTTTTCGCTAGAGTTTCATGTATGGTGTTTCTGGTTTGCTGTGTTTTTGTGGGGGATTTTTTTTGCCTAAGTTTAGTAAAATTCTAGGTAATTCTCATTTCTTAAGATGAATTTGATCTTTTTTTTTTTTTTTTTTGAGGAAGATTAGCCCTGAGCTAACTGCTGCCAATCCTCCTCTTTTTTCTGAGGAAGACTGGCCCTAAGCTAACATCTGTGCCCATCTTCCTCTACTTTATATGTGGGACGCCTACCACAGTATGGCTTGCCAAGCTGTGCCACGTCCGCACCCGGGATCCAAACCTGTGAACCCCAGGCTGCCGAAGCGGAACATGTGCACTTAACTGCTGCACCACTGGGCCAGCCCTGACCTTGATCATTGTTAAAGGATCTTTTTTATGTTTTGTAAAGGATTAGAAAATTTGATTAGTCAAAACTTAAATAAATATTATTAAGTATTACTTGGCTATCACATATATTGAGTGGTGTACCTTTATTTATTACAGAATCTGAATTTATGTTTTCCAAATAAGTTTCATTTCCACCTGTTTGCAGTTATTTAGCATCCCCTCCATATTTAAGTCCTACTGGTACTGAGTGCATACCAAAGACTTTGGAAAAATTTTTACTTTAAAATAATAACGTTAAATATTATATTCCCTAATTAAAAACGTGGCATATACATACAATGGAACATTATTCAGCATTTAAAAAGAAATAAATCCTGTCATATGCTACAACATGGATGAATCCTGAGGACATTATGCCAAGTAAAATAAGCCAGTCACAAAAAGACAAACACTGTATGATTCCACTTATCTGAAGTCTGTAAAGCAGTCAAACTCAGAAATAGAAAGGAGGGTGGTTACCAGAGGCTGGAGGCAGGGGAAAATGGAGAGTTGTTGTTTACAGGCATAGAGTTTCAGTTTGGAAAGATGAAAAAGTTCTAGAGATCTGTTGCTTAACAATGTCCTGTAGTTAACACGACTGTACTGTACACTTAAAAATGATTAAGGTGGTAAATTTTAGGTTATATATATTTTATCACAATTTTTTTTTTTTAAAGATTGGCACCTGGGCAAACAACTGTTGCCAATCTTCCTCTCTTTTTTTTTTTTTCTGCTTTATCTCCCCAAACCCCCCGTGTACACAGTTGTATATCTTAGTTGCAGGTCCTTCTAGTTGTGGGATGTGGGACGCCACCTCAACGTGGCCTGACGAGAAGTGCCATGTCCGCGCCCAGGATCCGAACCCTGGGCCGCAGCAGCAGAGCGGGAGAGCTTAACCACTCGGCCACGGAGCCAGCCCCTATTTTATCACAATTTTTAAAAAATCAATTAGTACCATAAAAATAAATAAAGTTGCTCCATACTGTTTCTAGGAGACACCCTAAAATGTAAGGACATTGAAAATATAAAATAAATCATAAGGATTATAACAGGTGAATCATAAACAAATTAAAACTCAGATGTGTTTATAAAAATCTATTAGATAGAATAGACTTAAGGAAAAATGCATTATCAGAGAAAATGATAGTCTCTTAAAAATGATAAACATTTTCATTCACCAGAAAGACATAAGAATCCTAACCTTGTATCACCTAACAAAAGAACCTCAAATTCTTTAAAGCTAGAGTTGACATAAGTATAAGAACTAGATTAATCCACATACTGGGAGATTTTAGCACAGTTCTCACAATAATGATATAAATCGTGTAGTCAAGTAAGCAGTACTATTATGAAAGCTTGAACCACAAAATTAACAACATTATATTAAAGAAGCAGATAAAATACAGAAATCAATTACATCACAATTGTGGAGTATACTTTCTTTTTAGGCACACGTGAAAAACTTAAGAATCCTGATTAAGGTTGTACTAGGCAAAGCACTACTCCAAGGATTCTTCAGCCTTGGTACTATTGACATTTTGGTCCAGATAATTCTTTGCCGAGAGGGATAATCCTGGGCATTGCAGGATATTTAGCAGCATTCCTGGCCTCTACCCACTAGATGCCAGTAGCAACACCCTTTGCCCGCCTCTCCCCACTTGTCTATCTTGGCTCTTAAACCCATCAACATCCACTGTATTAAAGACTTAAATATATAAAGGAAGAAACAAAATTTTAGAAAAAAATAAGAACAATTTTGTGTTCTTAGGGTAAGAAAAATTCCTTATGCAAGACACAGAAAGAGAAATCTATAAAGAATGAAACAGGAATTTGACTGTATTAAGAAAAAGAGAAATCTATAAATAAAAATAAGAATTTTGACTATATTAAAATTAGAAAAGTCTGTTCATCAAAAACTATCACAAAGAGCATGAAAATATAAGCCACAGACTGAGGGAAATATATTTCCAACACATATAACTGCCAAAGGATTCAAAATATATAAATAAATTCTATACATCAAAAAGAAAAGCATAAATGGTGCAATTTTTAATGGGCAAAAGAGCAGACACTTGACAGAAGAAGAAAATCCAAATGGCCAAAAAGCATATGAGAAAATACTCAGTCTTAGTAATAAGGAAGTGTAAATTAAAACTGCATTTGGTTTCCATTTCATACCCACCTGACTGGCCAAACTACAAAAGTTTTAGAATATCAGGTGTTGGGAAGGATGTGGAACAATTTGACCCTATTTAATCCATTTGAAGATGTGTACACCCTATTATTATGCAAATCTACTCCTAGGTATATACCTTGGTGTCTTAGTCTGCTCAGGATACTGTAATAAAATCATAGGTTTCATGGCTTAAACAACAGATATTTGTTTCTCATAGTTCTGGAGGCTGGCAAGTCCAAGATCAAGGTGCTGGCTGATTGAGATTTTGGTGAGAGCTCCTTTCCTGGCTTGCAGACAACCACCTTCTTGCTGTGTCTTCACATGGCCTTTCCTTGATGTGTGTTCCTGGAGAGGGAGAGAAGGATGTCTCTCTCTTCCACTTCTCATAAAGCCACCAACTCTATCAGATTAAGACCCCACCTTAGTGATTTTATTTATTCTTAATTACCTCCTAAAAGATCTTATCTCCAAATACAGTTACATTGGGGGGTTAAGACCTCAACATATGAATTTTCGGGGACACAATTCAGGTCATAGTACTTTTTTTTTTTGTATATGTCTGTTAGTAACATGTACAAGAATACCCACAGCCAACACAACTGCCTGGTGAAACCCTAGCCCAACCGATATGCTAATCACCAGACACATAATGAAACCACTGTAGACCATACAACCCACCTGAGCTGACCTGGACGAGTAGTACCATCCCAGCCTTCCCACTAAAGCACAAAATAAATGAAATAGTGATTTTTTTTAAGTCACAAAGTTCTGGGTTGTACTGTTATACAGAAAAATCTAACTGATATAGTAGACTAGGTATTCTAAAGCCTCTGAATTTATGTATACTTCAAATTTACATTGTATGTATATGTGCCTTTTTCTAGGATTATCTAGGACAAAATCCCCTACTCTCTAGCTGGTGAGATGAAAAAATGAGATACAAACCCATTCAAAATTTAAATTGTCCAAGGTGAAAATAGTAATTGAAGGCAATAATTTTAACGAATTTCACAGACATTGTATTAGTAGCTAAATAGTAGATAAAATAAAAGATAAAAAGAGGGAAAGCATTTAGGCTCATATTATCAGGCAAGTTATTAACGAAGAGGTAGAATATAATTATTTAAGTAATTTATTCTTTAATATTTCGTTCATTCAAAATTTGGTCATTCAGGTGAAGTTTAATCTGTGTCTTAAAGAAAGCAAAGTTCACCTTGAGGATTGTTATATGTTAAGCATCATGCTCAGTGATGATTAAAAGATGATTGAGATCTATTCTGTACCATTAATGAAGACAGACATAAGGCATAACAAATAAAATAGAGATATACACAGGATAATGTGATAGCATAGATATGAGATAGTTTGCTTTTTTGCGGGTTTGGAGAATGTTTCTTGGAGAGACGTCCTGATGGATGAGACAGAGTTACCAAAGCAAATAAATATTGGAAGAGGTAGTTATAAGCAAAAAGCCAGACATGAAATAACAGTATTAATAGCAATAGGTCATTAATTTTTCAACGAATATTGTACACCTTCTATATACCAATCACTATACTAGACAGAGAATACCATAAGGAATAAAATAGAAATGTTCTGAAAGAAGTTATTACCAGTAGAGATAGTCATACAATAAAAAAGTATACAACCCAATGTAAAATTACCAGCTATGAATAATACCATGAAGGAAAAGAACAGAGAACTGTTCGAAGTGTAATGAGAAGCAATGGAAGTATTTTCGCCAGAAGAGTAAGATAATTTAATTTACAAATTTGGCACTTTAGACTTTCAGAAATAAAAATTATGCATGAGAGTATTTGAATACAAGACAAGGGAGGTAGAGAAAGTCTTCTAGGTCATGCTCAGTATGACCTTGGACTTCATCCTGAAAGTGAAGACGTGCCATTGAAGAATTTTAAGTATGTGAACTGTATGACCAGATTTATATTGAAGATACACAAGTTCCAGTGTGGATGTGGAAATAATGTGGATGGATGAAGGGTGAGACTGGGAAAGGGAGCGAGCTAGGAGGCTCTAGCAACAGTCCAGGCAAGAAAAGGTGAATACTGGACAAGTTTAAATTTCCTGTTGCAATAGAAGGAGTGTTATTAGGCAATATGGATCTGGTACATGAGGAGTTGGTTCTAAAATTTGAAGAAGTTTTAGAATTATCACCGAGAGGAAGGAGAGATGGAGCTGATCAAGGACACGTAAAAAAGATTGTTGAGCGGCCCTCCTTTGGGATAGGAGATCGTACATTTTTCATAGTTGTAGAGCGGGCATCTGCTGATTTGCCTGTCTAGCACTCCTCAAGCCTTCATCTGGAAAAGTCTACCCCGTCTAGAAAATTTGTCAGCCCTCAGACTAAGCATATGCCTCAAGTGTGATCAGTAATGCTCTAAAATTACTCTGCCTCGTTGGCTACCGTGATTGATCTGTGAATGGATATCTGTCTCAACCTGAACCAATCCTAAAACCTGAGTGATCAGTGATAACTAACATGTTCAGAACCAGCCACTATGCAAAGTCTTTTATATTCACTTATTTAGTCATCATAACAATGCAATTAAGTAGGTACTATTGTCATCTCCCCTTTTTCAGATAAGGAAATTGAGGCCCAGAGATATAAACTTGTCCCAGGTCATACACAGACCAGGTTTTCAATTCTAGGTGTCTTTCTTCACAACCTACACCTTCTTAACCACTGGCTAACATTGCCCTGGACATGTTTATTCACCCAGAAATGTTTATCTGTCCCAAAGTAACCCAACCAGAGCCCTTTCTTGGATTTCTGACCTTAGGTATCAAGTAAGCTAATCTCAATCTATCTGTGGGGGTGCAGTTAGAAGCGCTGAGCATGGTTACTGCTAGGCACCATGAATCCTGCTGTATGGAAGAAGCCAGACTGAAAAACTGAGGAAGAGATCCCCAAAACTGTGTCTTCAGAGATCAGAGACAACATGAGGTGGTATTGAATCTGTGGTTGCAGTCATCTCTGAGACTAACTGGAGCCTTGACCTCCTATTAATGTGATGATGTGAGCTTATTCAGCACCCTTTCTGGATAAACTAGCTTAAATTTAAAGCTTGTAACTAAGAGTCATGAGTAATTAAGGATACCAATCTGCATAGCTGTGAGAGAGTCTTTAGCAATGCTCAGTCATCCAGAGTGAACACAGATTGCTGTGTTAGTCCTGGTTGGGGATTCAACAGGCAGTTGTGTTAGAAAAACAGGGACCCAAATAAGTTGAGCATGTGAACGACAGTCAGATGGGAAAAGAAGTGCAACCAGAAGGGAATAGGTCATAGTGGAAAAGAAAGCAGGCCTAGGGGTAGACTGGGCAAGTAACATAACCTCTCAACCTTCAGTTTCCTTATTTTTGTTCTGGGATAATAACAATTGCCTTTCCTTCTCATGTGTTGTAAGAATTAAATGAGATAATCTATGTACGCTATTTAATGCAGTGCCTAGCATATAGTAATTGCTCTATAAATACTGCCATTGAGGTCTATACCTGGTGCTATGGGAATACAGATTCACAGAGAAGGGATGTCTGAGCTGGTATTAAAGGACAAATGCAGTCAGATAGGTAAAAGGAAGCAGATATTCCCTTCTCATACGCTCCATGCCTACTTGTTTATCCCCTAACTTGCAATGCAGGTGACAGCTTCTTCTACACACATTCCATAGGGGCTGGAGTCATAGTCCAAAACATGTAAATAGATGGCTTCAGTGGGAAGCTCTAGGTAATATGCAAAGTCAATAAAGACCAAAAATTAAATCCAAAATGCTGTTAAGCATTTAAATTTTAGGTTTTTATTTGCAACCAAAATGCTTAATTATTAAAACATTAATATACATATGATTGCATCATCACTGATGAAACTTCTCCTGCCTGTAACAAATGTGATTTCAGCTTGTACTTTGGTAATGAGTGATGAAGAAATTTCCAGATGGAAAGGTTTAATTTGTGAGATTTTCCCTAGTCTATTCACATTGGCTTTAACTTCCATTTTAAATTACAGAGAGAATTCCCAAAATTTCAAATAGCCCCAAGAGATCTGGTGAAATAGCTAATCTCTTTCTATGAGCATGCTAACAAAAGCAATTTCTTACGAAGCTATATGCTACCCAGTGGGACTGATAATGAATCTGCATTATGGTAACCTTTATAAGAAGGGAAGATAAGAAGACCTTTTGGGGAGGTATATTTATTAGGTGGTGAATGTGTCTCTCCGCTTGTAGATTCTTCTGTTTAGATCCACTTTTCACTCAACTATGCCAAGACCTTCTGTTTTTCTGCTTTCAGTAACTTGTCTGAATTTATAATACTCACCCTATTATGTACCACAATGTCAGTAAATATCAAACACCAATGTGCCGTACAACTTTCTCTGTGTTCAATTTCTCTCTTTTTGAAAAGGCACTAGATTTACATAGTCGATTGTAGGCTTTATCCTAATTTCCCTCTAGGATTTATAAAGACTTCAAACTGTGTTAACACAGACACTGTGATTGTTTGTTTATAAACTGGAAAGGAGGGAAAATGACTTGTGTGTTGTCACCCAGATAGAAAGAAGCAGCATTTACTGGAAGTCTCCTACAGAGGGCACCTTCACCTTATTGGAAACCCAACTGAAAGAGAAACTCAGGGGTTACCAGAGAAGTGACTAAACCTTAAAGTCAGAAGCACTCGCTTGCTTTTGCTAACCAGTTTTCTTCTCTATGGTATGTTTGTTATCTTATCTTTAATGGAAAAGAACTGGCACCCTCTGTATAATCATTCATAGATGTGGGCCAGTAACACTACCTTATTATGATGTTCAGCCTGCTTGTGGGTGAGCTAGAGACAGCTGTTCATATTACTTAACAGGCAACAGATCAGTGAAAGGAAGGGAAGGACAAGTTTTGAGCTGCCTTTTTGCAACAATGTCCTTTATACAACAGAGGATATTTTTAAAGCATTGTATTGGAAAACAAAGGCTAATAATAAAGTAAATGTTTACAAAACAAACTCTGCTGTGTTGTTATGATTAGTAAGTGCTTTTAGACTAAAATTACTTAAATGGAAGCAAAAAGTAAATATTTTTGGATACCAAAAATACCATGAGTTATAGACTACAAATCTAAAGAAGTAATTACTATTTAGAAAATTCTGAAAGTAGGCATGTGAGTGTGTGTGTGTCCATGGGTGTGTGTAAAGCAATTCTTTGAAACTGTTTCTGTGTAGCTAAACTATAAAGAGACATTTTAGCAATCATATCATTAAAATAAAAGATTATCAAACTGTAAAAATATAAGTACATTTTCATAGGAGACATTCTCTTTAAAAATGTTCAGCATAAGTGCCATACACATCTAGAGGCCTTCAAATACAGCATTACTTACTTTAATGTCGATTTTGAATGTCTTATGATGACTAATAATATTAACATGCATAAATCCAGTGTGTATGAACATCACTTTGCACATTTACATTTGACAATTCCTGATCGGGAGGCTTCTTTTGGATATTCAACAAGTAGTAATCAGATTATTAGAACATTTTGGCTAAGAAAACTGAAATATCAAGAAACTGAAGATGATTACTGCTGAATACTAAGGTCAAAAGAAACATTGAAGACATGAATTTCTCTCTCTACATTTGTATATAAAATACTATTTGTTTAGTTGATGAATGCTCCATCTAATACCTATTTACAATGAATCTTATCAATTATAGATTACTAATTCTGTATTTTCATATTCTATGCTTAGAATTAATTAAACTCCTAATTGCTACTACTGGCATATAGCATTTGGGAACATTTTTGCTTTCTTTTAAATTCAACTTGAAATAGAGTACAAATAAGTGTAAATGCATTTTAGCTATTAAAATTAGTTTGATCCTGGGCTGGCCCCGTGGCCGAGTGGTTAAGTTCGCGCGCTCCGCTGCAGGCGGCCCAGTGTTTCGTTAGTTCGAATCCTGGGCGCGGACATGGCACTGCTCATCAGACCACGCTGAGGCAGCGTCCCACATGCCACAACTAGAAGAACCCACAACGAAGAATACACAACTATGTACCGGGGGGCTTTGGGGAGAAAAAGGAAAAAATAAAATCTTTAAAAAAAAAAAAAATTAGTTTGATCCTATGTCTTTTTTTAAGCTTTATTCAGTCAAGTACTAAAGTCTCCTATTAGGATCAAAATGTTCAGACTATTGCACATTTTAATTCTTCTTTAGTAATAACTATCATCAATTTGTCAATCAAATCACTTACATAAAAATATAACATAGAACCACCTGGTAAGCATGTACTGAAATTTATGCACATGCTGTTATCAATGTGTTTCAAAATCAGCTAAATTAGTTTCTGTGGGAAAAATACCCATTTTCTTGTTCAGCTGAATTGATTGCCTTGTCCTAGAAAATGCCTAGAGTAAGGCCCCAATCCACCTGCCCAGGCGTCTCCCTCTCATTGTTGACATTTCCTAGTGCTCAGTGGTCTCTCCCACTTTGTTGCATTCCAGAGCTCAAGGCGCTTCTTTGAAGACACAGGCCATTCAAGCCTTCTCTACTTTGCAGCTTCCATCTAAAGGGAGAGTAAATGAAAAAGCCACACAGTTCAGACTATTTAAATGGGGCAGCAGGAGGGCATGCTATGGCTCTGTTGGGAATAGCTGTGAGTGATTCCCGAATCATCTCTTGGAAAAGAAATAGAAAGTGAGCTTTCTTGAAATCAGGATGAAAAAGGATAGGAGAAAGAGGCTGAATAGTACCCTATGGAAAAGCAAACTAAAGCTGGTAAGAGACTACGGAAAAGTAATGTGTTTACACAGTCAACTGCTGGTTTAATGCCAGAGTTTGCAAAGGACTTCAACAGGTGACTTTTACTGGTGGATGCTCTCATTTTTTAACCAAAGGAAACCAGAGATAGTCACAAAAGTCAAGGAGCCCCAGGGGTTTTTGCAGTTTGACTAAGTTTTGATATCACGTACTGGTTCAGTATTTCTCAGGATCTCAAAATCTTGCCCTTGAAATAACAGTATTTCCCCAACTCTTTTTCAAGACTCTCCATCCTCATCATGCTGCATTGTAGCACATGAGCGCAAACATCTAAGCAGCCACGGAGAACACATCAGTAGCTCTGTTAGAGCTTATGGAAATTCATTATACAGTGGTAGAAAAAGGCAGAGAACCATGAATCTAGATCCACCTGTGCCAGTCTATTATTTTTATAGTTCCTTTACATATGAAATGAAAAAAATTCCCCTGCTCACCTCAAAAAGGTCTCCTTCAAGGATAGTTGGGGGAAAAAATTCAGTGAGGACTTGAGTTTAATACCTGGCTTAAGCCTCAACTAGCTGTGAGTATAAGGGGAAGTCTTCATATTTTGTTAATTGTCAGTTTCCTCTTTTGCAAGATAAAGGATGATATATAAGGATGAATCAAATGGGCTGGTAGTGAAAGGGTGCCTACACTTCCATGCTGGGAATGTCTCTGAGATTGTCTCTGAGCTCTCAGGGAAGGATCTGAGAACAATTTGTGATGTCTGGCATCCTCATCGGATAGGGAAATGGCAGGATGAGATCTGCAGTCCTAGGATTAAATAATCTTCTAGGCTCCCCTAACACACAATTTCAATGAAGTTAAGGCAGTAAGACTCAACTGAGAGAATGTATATGAAAGTCTGATCAGGATGAGTATCTTTTTCTTCTCTACATCCTCAGCAACGAGTATACTGTCAGTACACACACAAAAAGTATGCTTTGTATAACAGAGAATGTTATGTCCATTAAAGTGATGGTGGTTAAAGTAAAGACTGTACAAATTGTTGCACATGCCTCCTTCTTACTCACATTTGGGAGGTAGAATTTCACAAACAAACCTACCTGTCCTCATCATCTGTAGCAGCACTTCAGAGTACAGCCTCACATATTTTCAGTCTTGGTGAAGACTCAACCCTCCCCAGTGGCTCCTTGGATGACTAAGAAGATTCTTTCTGTACCAGTGTCAGATGTGAGCTTTTGTTATGGGTCTATGATTCTCTTTTCCAGCTCTTTGAAACCCAATTTACTAGCATCTCTGGATTTTTGCCTTGAGAGTTTTCCTAAATTAGCAGTACATTACAACAGAAATGAGCATATGTAAAATTTTGTTAGTCTTTAATATCCTGGTCTGAATCAAACAACACATGACTTGGAGAATGAGCAGTTTACACAATTTGGGGACGAAGGGAATGGATGGCATAACATAAAAGCAATTTTAATTACCCAGCTGACATTTATTGAGCACCCAGCAAGTGTTAGGCATTATACTAGCTATCCAAAAGGAGTAGAAATTACTTGAGACCACCTGAAGAGAACCATATCAACAAGTAGAAAAGCATAAGACAATTACCTCACCCATAGGAATGCATGGTGAAAGTTATTACCACACATAGGGATAAATCAGCAAAGATTCCTGGATGTGCTGAATCTTCAGCCAATCAGTAAATCAAAAATCCTGACATATAGGAAACTGTCCCTTTCTTAGTTTCTTCTCTAAACATACAAGTGAAGATATGCTGGACATGTGCATGAACTGAACTCTGATTAAAAAACTAAAATGACTGTATGGCATATGAGGAAGGCACATGCCTGAGGATGGCAACAGTGCAAACTCTCCCCAAGTGCCTGTATACTCAGAGCCTGTACGTTGATTAACTTGATCAACAATAAAAAGCGCTATGAAGAATGTGATTTTTTTTTTTTATTTTTTATTTTTGCTGAGGAAGATTCGCCCTGAGCTAACATCTGCTACCAGTCTTCCTCTTTTGGTATGTGAGCCACTGCTACAGCATGGCCACTGACAGAGGAGGGGTATAGGTCCATGCCTGGGAACGAACCCCAGCCGCTGAAATGGAGCATGCTGAACTTAACCACTAGGCCACCAGGGCTGGCCCAGAAAGTGATTTCTAATGTAACACCCTGCCAGTATCTCACAGTCCTCTCTTGAAAACTGGAGGCGTGAGGGGTTGGTCTGGCAAAATCTGTTCAAGTAAAAAATTAACAACAACTTAGAACCTGGCATAGATATTATTAATAGACAGTTGTGTTACTATTTGTACTGGTCATTTTTAAAACAGTCAATTTCTAAGTTTAAAATGGGCCAAGTACATTCTCAGAGCCATGGTGTTCAACCTTTTCCATTTCATTGTTAAAAACCGCACTTTTGTTTCAAGATGTAACCTTTGCTGAAGCATAGGGCTGAAACAATCACAACAAAACACCTCCCCCTTAAAACTAGTACTTCAGAGGCCTGTTAAATCAAAAGAAAAATTCTTTCTCTCCTCCCCAGTTCCACGGCCCTCAGGATTTTAAATGGTAATGACCAGTTCATTTGAGAAAATGGCATTTTAGTGCTTCCCTTCACAAGCTCTTAAGGCGTATAAGGTGTCTCTTTCCCAGGGATGTGCACCTCCTTTTGTTTTCTGGCATTACTGGAACTGACCTGGCATGGATCACTGGGTGAGCAGGCAATCTTAAACACTTCTCATATAAATTACTGGTTCCTTTCCAAGTGCAATTGCTCACAGGGTAATACACCATTTTACAACTCTGATAGCAAAGTCTCTTCGTTCTGCTGGGTTCCACACCCCCTCAGGAAATGAACAGACAAAAAGACTGATGGAGATGTGAACCTCAGAAATGTACAATCTGGTTCAACCTCAAGTATATACAGAGTGGGCAATTTGAGATCCTTCAGTTCTCCTATTTCCTTCTTTTACTCCTCTCAAATCTTCTTTTCTTGCTTCAAAAGCCGTCAACAGGAACAAAAATATCACAATAGCATCCTCCACATATGTGGACACTATAGAAAACAAAGCAGTAATAATTGTGGACGTCTACGAAAATACCTTTTTCAAAATTTTCCAGAAAAGAAAATAATGCTCACATTTTATGATCTATATTTACTAGGTAGAAACGACACATCTTGCTTCCATGCAAATGAGGCTTATCATTGATTGAGCTCTCCAAGATTCACTAGATGTTAATGATGGCCACATTTTCCAAACCAATGTCTTTTTTCCCATGAACTCTAACGACAAGGTGTGTTTTTACTGACAGTTGACTCGGATCAGAGCCTGCAGTATTGTATTTCAGGTTGTGGCTCTGTAAAACCCTGTAACTTTCTTTGAAGTTAAACAGTGTCAATCTGTTTCCATGTCTGAATAACTCTTAGAAGAGCCTGTCTGACCCAAGTCAACTCAGTGAAACATACTATTTCCCCATAATTGATGTTCCAAATGAATGTCCTTTCATAATAAAATGTGCTGGAAAACAAAACAGCTTTGCATCCGGCACAAGTTGCATCATAATTAAATTTTATTTTATCCCATCGAGGCATGCTAAATGTTGAGCAAAATATAATTTTAAGTAATTTGTTTGTATTCTTATCTGTAGGAGTTGGAAATTAACAGCGTTGCTAGTTTGCGTTTACTGTTAAGCCTGGAGAGCAGAGAGATTGCTTTGCAAACATTACAGTTATTATGTCTGCAGTTGGTACTCTTTGTATAAATTATTGATCAGCCAGCTTATTTTTCTTTCTGCTTAATGGATATTATAGCATAGCCGTTTACAACGCTATAGTTAAGGTTGTGTCAGCACTTCCATTATAATAAACCCTCTGTTACAGGGGGTTTATAACTTGTTGTAAAAATTTGCTCTGGGCTGAAACTTGACATACAAGATCTCAGGCTGGAAGGTGGCAATTGTTATTCTTTCAACTTTTAAAAAAATCTCTTTGTTCTGAAGGGCAATAAATAAATAAACAGTTTAGTCTTTTCTAACAATCCTTGAAATTTCTGACTTCAAATAGAACAATTTTTATAGGCTATTTGCTGGACAATGACCTCTTCTTTTATTTAATAAAGCAAAGAGAAAGAAAAAGGACCAAGATAATAAGTTAAAACAACAACAACAAAGCAGACAGTG